AATGCTGCCGCCATCTTGCTCAGCTCAGCTCTGTGCTGAGCTCTGAGAGCGGGAAAGACGGACTGCCCTCCCCTGCCCTCTGCTGGCGCGTGCTGTGCATTACAACCAATGTCGTCCCTGTCAAAACTCCGTGTCAGTGTAATAGAATGAAACGCATCTGTGATTTGGCGCACAGTCTGTGACGTCACGGTATTGAAAATCATACCGACGGGATTTCGAAATACCCTGGTATACCGTAATATCATCATACCGCCCAAGCCTACCCCCTAGAGGAGGTTAGGTCCAACAGCTGCCCACACCCCCCGTCAAATTGTCCTACCCACATTGAGGATGCTTCCTACACCCATGCCCCATACACGCACAACCTGTGCTGCAACTCGAGCGTTACTTGATAAATCCACACATTGGTGAGACCCAGACCATTGTGGACTCTGTAGTGGACATTTTGTTCGCATGCATATCCTTCTACTCTTATGAGTTACTCTATCAATCTGCACTGTACAGAGGACATCCTGGGCTTTCCAGTGATAGGTCAGTGGTTAAATTGCATGCTGGGAAGTCCCTCTTTTTTTTCATCCACAATGGCCGGCATACCAACAACAACATGTTATAGAAAGAGGAGGGGTATTTCAAATATTGCTGATCAATTGTTATTTTTACCATAAAAATCAGATATGTTCTTGTCTATTAACATTTGATATGAATTATATTAGTTCTGAAAGCAGTTAAATAATTTGTGGTCAAACGTCTTTTAGTGTGGCTAGTATGTACTTCTGTAAACTGTTTTTTAATATTGTATGATATGTTTGTTTAACTACACTAAAGGAAACTAAATCATTACTCAAAGTAACAAACAAATTATTTGTCATGTTTACTTTGGATTTGAAGCAGCTCCTTCAAACATGTCTTTATGACCTTTAAGCTACAAGATGACCTTTGTAAGCATTTAAACGTCTACATCAGGGGTGTCAAACTCAAGGCCCGGGGGCCAAATCCGGCCCGCGACTTCATTTTATGTGGCCCCACAAGAGCTTGCAAAGAATATAATATGTTTTTTATANCAGTTAGTCTGGATGTCAGGACATACTAAGGCAGGGGTGTCAAACTCAAGGCCCGGGGGCCAAATCCGGCCCGCGACTTCATTTTATGTGGCCCCACAAGAGCTTGCAAAGAATATAATATGTTTTTTATACGGTTACATGGCGATTTACAGAAGCACGTTGCCCATAAACTACATGTCCCACAATGCATCTCAAATTACAATTTTTTTCTCAGAATTTGACATTTTTTCTCAGAATTTGCCCTTTTCCGAATGGATTTTTTTCCAAAATGTCCTTTCATTTAGCTTTCTTTNATTTTGTGACGTTCTCACTGAAGAGACTTGCAATTATTTGCCCTAGACTTCTGCTTTCAGACCGAGTTAATTATGAAGTTATTACCCTATCCGATAATAATCCAATGCAGAGGCAATAATGTAATATAATACATTATTTTATATATATTAAATATGTACATTTATATAGTCTTAAAGTTACAACCGGCCCTTTGAGTGCAACCATAATGCGAATGTGGCCCGAGATGAAAATGAGTTCGACACCCCTGGTTTAAACAAAATGAAACCCACAAAACTCTCATAAATCCACAAAAGGTGAGAAATAGAAACTTAGGTGTTAAAACCTTCTTTCCAGTAAACAATCATTCCTGTGAAAGCTGAGCTCTACCAAATGTGTTTTTTCATGTTTTATCGTTTATATACATATTTACATGATGTGTTTCAGACGCTGCAGGTCAGCCTGAGGAAGAGTCGGGACAAATGAGAGAGGGTCTGTTCGCCCTGCATCAGCGGCGAGGGGCCATCAAACAAGCCAAAGTTCACGTTGTCAAATGTCACGAGTTCAGCGCCACCTTTTTCCCTCAACCCACCTTCTGCTCCGTCTGCAAAGAGTTTGTCTGGTACGAAAACTATCATCGACAAATTATCATGTTTTGCATTATAACGACTAATTGGTTTTTTTCCACCGCAGGGGTCTAAACAAGCAGGGGTACCAGTGCAGACGTGAGTGTCGGATGAATATTTTCCACTGATGTATTGGAAGTTTAACAGTGCCTTTTTTCAACCCCATAATGTCCAACTGTCATTTTCGTTTTCTACAGAGTGCAACGCAGCTATTCACAAAAAATGCATAGACAAGGTTATCGCCAAATGCACTGGTTCCGCCATCAACAGCAAAGAAACAATGGTGAGTATCTGCCTCACACTCATTGTTTCACATAAACGCTCTTATGTCATAGCGTCTGAGCAGTCACACTAAAAGACTTGTGGTTATACTGCTTACTAATCACCTCATACAGAGGAATCATTAAGCCACACATGTCTCGTCTCATTCACTGCTTTTATCTTTTGACTCACTTCCTCCTCAGAGTTCATACGCATGAAACCAAAAGAGAATACTAAACCCTTGTTGTAATACGCAGTGTAAGAAGAACAGACCTGCCCCCCTCTGTTTAGGGACAGGAAGTGTTCTCTATATTTTAAAATAAAAATTGCACTACAGGCAAGAAAGTATGTATTTTGTGCCAGGGCCTCCATGCTGAGCTGTATGATGTGTGTCCTGCAGATCCACAAGGAGCGCTTCAAGATCGACATGCCGCACAGGTTTAGAGTGTACAACTACAAAAGTCCAACGTTCTGTGAACACTGCGGTACTCTGCTCTGGGGGCTCGCCAAGCAGGGGCTCAAATGTGAGGGTGAGGGGCGGAAGATTTAACATTTCTGTGGATTCATTACTAATTTATGTTTTGTAGACACACCTCATACACATCAACTTTCTTTGTGTTACTACAACTGATTAAACTAATGGAACACTTGCCTAGTAAACACACGTTGTTTGTTCCTCGATTTGTCTTTCCTTTATGACCTAGAAGGTTACTACATATAATGTAGGGTAACTTATAATAAATGTTATTCATGATGGTAAAAGAGCTAGAAATACCAACTACAGAAGCAGATATATTTAACAAACAGAATTAGTACCAGAAAAGTTATTTCCTCTGTAGCATCACACAATTAAAATTGGAGGTAGAATCAGTGCCATAGCCCTCGTAAATACAAAACGTCCTCAAAAAGGCATGTTTTTTATCTGCGGTGGTAATTCTGTGTTTTCTGTGCAGAATGCTGCATGAACGTCCATCATAAATGCCAGAAGAAAGTAGCCAACCTATGCGGGATCAACCAGAAACTCATGGCTGAAGCTCTGGCCATGATCGAGACTAAACAGCAGGTGAGACACACTACACTCTGCAATTTCAAAACATTTTCATGTGTACATTTTGAACTGCCTACGTTATAGGGAATAATGGAGATATATGAAACGGCCACCATTTTCGGTTGAAGCGAATGTTTTGCAACTTTTTTTGTTTTGGAATTGATCATCTTAAACCTTCTTCAATAAACCTTACTTTTGGAATCTTTGCAAACTTTTTTGTTGAAAAGGCTGTTTTCAGAGGCCTTTCCACCAACATGTTAGACTTTAAATCTCAGCCCTACCTTTTGCCTTCAGGCCAGAAGCTCCAGGGACACTGAAATGGAAATCATCGGCAGAGAGGGTCCAGTCAGTGTCGACCAGCCGGGGGTTATCAGAGCTCCGTCTGGGTTAGTAACGTCCACAGCTACACCTGCAAACAAAGGTACATTAGTTTCAAAAACCTGCACCCTGTCCTCTATTCTCGACGATAGTTTTTCTAATATAACGCATATATTCCCCATTCCTGCTTCATGACCTGAAGAGATGCAGGGTGTTTCATGGGAAGGACCGGCAGACAGGAGCATCACTGAGGCGCTGAAAGAAGAAGAGCCTCTGTACGCCGTCCCAAAGAAGGACCAACCCAGATTCACCGTCAATGACTTCATTCTGCACAAGATGCTCGGGAAAGGCAGCTTCGGCAAGGTACAGCTTCTGATTCAAAGAAAAGCAAATGCACACAGGGGGATTTACAGCAGAACTCAGCGAAAAGCATAATTCCAGCACTCTTCTCAAACTATAAGACTTAGTATCTGCCAGACACTCATTAAGTAAGTATTTCAGCATTATTAATGGTATGTTTCTAAGTAATAATAACTTGTTATAGCTATGCACAATAACAAACGACACATTTAGGGGAATACGTTTTCCATTAGTATGTCATCAGTGATATTTTAGTTCTTCGCATTAATTCAAAGCTTTCATACATGACATTATGACACATTTTGGGCAACCCTTACTGCCGCTAGTTTCCACAGGAAACCAACAACTTGTTGCTTTAATGTCAGTGGGAGGCAGTAATCACAAAGGTGTTTCAGAAGTGCGAGTGTCAAAGAAAATATAACTGTCCAGCCGCAGCAGTTTTAACAAATCTTTCTGTTACAGGTATTTTTAGCCGAGCTGAAGAGAAGTGGGAATTTTTACGCAGTGAAGGCTCTGAAGAAGGACGTGGTGCTGATGGACGATGACGTGGAATGCACCATGGTGGAGAAGAGGGTCCTCTCTTTAGCCTGGGAAAACCCTTTCCTCACACACCTTTACTGCACCTTCCAGACCAAGGTAACACCAAGGAACACTTGGATTCATCTGTACATTTACTACAGTCACACATCTGACCTTCCTACATGTGTTTATCCAGGAAAACCTGTTCTTTGTCATGGAGTATTTGAACGGAGGGGATCTCATGTTCCATATCCAGAGCTGCCACAAATTTGAGTTGCACAGAGCCACGTATGTATCCCGGCAATATGCTAAATTTGTTAAGATGCCCAACTTAGGTCTGTGCTGTTTGGTTGGGATGCTTTGCTTGCTTTTAACCCTAACCCTAACCCTAACCCTTGGCAGGAGTGTGTAGTGAATACAAATGTGAATGTTTTCAGAATTGCAAATTCACATACTATCAATACTTAGTAGGGATGTCACAGTACCCAACATTTTGTAGTCGATACAAATACCTTTTGAATTCCAAGATTCTCAATACTTATTTAATACCATGTAAAAGTCCCCCCCAAACTAACAGCCTGCTGGTAATGGCTTACTAAATCATTCATTTAGCAGGCAGTAAGCAGTACATACTGATTGAGTATGTAGGAGGCAAGACTAAACTAACATCCCACATTTTTTTCCTCGCTACCATTTATGTTTCTCCACAGATTCTATGGAGCAGAAATCATCTGTGGGCTTCAGTTCCTGCACTCCAGAGGAATAATTTACAGGTAAATGTTCAGTAAAAGCTAGAAACAGAACTGAACCTGATGAAAAAACTGTTGGTGCTCATATCTTGCTGCTCCTCTGCAGGGATCTGAAGCTGGATAATGTGCTGCTGGACTCTGAAGGTCACATAAAGATCGCAGACTTTGGCATGTGTAAGGAGAACATGCAGAACGACACCCTGACCTCCACCTTCTGTGGGACGCCTGACTACATAGCTCCTGAGGTGATCACACACAACAAATATTTACATTTGCATAAGACTATATATTAATGGGCAAACCAACACTAGCAGATGTACCTTAAGTGGTAATTCACTTAAAGCATTTTCCAAAAGTGTTATCCTACCAAGCACAGATAATGTAATATTACTTCACCAAGGAAAAATCTATGGGTATCAGACTGCATGTAGAATGTTTCGAAAGCGAATAAAAAAAAAGCTACACTGTATGTTTTTAACCTTTATGTAATTATATATCAGATACTGCTGGGTCAGAAGTACAACAGCTCAGCAGACTGGTGGTCATTCGGGGTTCTGCTCTACGAGATGCTGATCGGGCACTCTCCATTTCACGGCCAAGACGAAGAGGAGCTGTTTCAGTCTATACGGACCGACAACCCCTTTTATCCCCCCTGGCTCTCCAAAGACTCCAAAGACCTTCTGATCAAGGTCAGACGTGTGTTTCAAACGTTGTACTAGGGGTACTAAAGCAGTACATTTATACAAGCAAAACATTCCTTGACTCACAAATTCAGTGTGGCCGGATTTACACAAGTTAGGTGTTTTTTTTTGTGGAAAAACGTTTTAAACTGCCTGTTTGTAACCTTGGTTTTGTTTATTCCGCAGCTGTTTGTGAGGGAGCCTGAGGAGCGCCTTGGACTGAAGGGAAACATCCGACAGCACAAGTTCTTTAGCAGCACCGACTGGAACAACCTGGAACAACGCAAGGTGGCACCGCCCTTCAAGCCAACTATAGTAAGTGCAATCACATGCTCTCACTTTTTCATTTAAATTTGAAGGGCCTGATTTTTGCTAGGAAGCATGGTAACTGAATATATTTACCTACTTTTAAAGTGAAGAATAGGGCTGCAACTAAAGTTAGTTAATATGAATCAGGATAAGCCAACACTTACAGTATTCAAAATCTAAGATGATATCAAGTCTCATATCAGAATATCAATATAATATTGATATATTGCCTAGCTGCTCTAACGATCATTGTCATTATCCTTTTTAGTGATTATTACACTACTTTAAGAGGGCACATACTGAAAGGATGTCAACAGTTCATCTTTGTAAACCTTAAATAAAAATGTATAAAGTGTTTTTTAGGATTAATACTGTAATAGAAAGGTTATTTTGCGATACAATACTGTATAAATATTTTTCTAATACTCCTATTCTCATCTAATGACCAACATATTGAGTTACATGTATTATAGTCCAATAGTTAAGGATACATAATACTTTCAATTGGTGTATATTGTTATTATATATATATATATGTATTTACGCATTTTCTCTTCCACTCTGACAGTCATCCCCCAGTGACTGCAGTAACTTTGACAAAGAGTTTATCAACGAGAAGCCACGACTGTCTTGTGCCGACCGTACGCTCATCAACAGCGTTGATCAGACGATGTTCAAGAACTTCTCCTTCGTGAACCCGGGGATGGCCCGCCCGGCAGCACGCTGAGCACTGGACAAAACAACCTACTACATTACAAACAAGTCGCTCACACACAACCAGCACTTACTGAAACTGAAATGGACTGCAGAGACTTTAGACTGTGAATGTCACAAAACTCAACTGTATCTGTAATTATGATGATAACCACTAAAGTGTGTGTCCTCAGTGTAAGTCACAGACATGGCTACTATGACAGTATATGGGTCTTAACTCTTAAGTCTCTCCATTTAAAATAGTGTTAAAATAAAACTAAAATATCCACAAAAAGCCTTTGGTAATCTCATCTTCTGGTATCAGACAAAGAGGCCCAGAACACATACCAAGAAGTCCGTTATACTCACACACAATTCATCAAGTGGCATATACTGTATATCACCTATAAATCTTGCCTTTGCGCTCATGAAGGTGTGTTTCTAAATAAAAAGGTGTTGTAAAAATCTTACGGAGCTTCGTAGTAATATGTGAGGGTAAAGTTCTTAAAATAAAAGCAAACAAAACATGTGGTTACAGATAATTAGTGTTATTGTTTTCTTTCCTGTCTTATTCCCTAGCCTGATGAGTATTTTACCTCCATGTTCGATACAGATGTTAAAATGTGTTGTGTAAATAAATGTAACGTCATTCTGTCGATATACTGGACTGTCAGTTGGATGGATATACGTTAGTGTGTAGCAGGATTTAGTTTACATGTATTTTCTTATTGAACCTCAGGAGGTTTTATTGATGCTATATTTTGGATCAGGTACTTAGATCAGCTGCATACTGTAGTTGTTATTGTTCTATTCATTGTGAATCATGTCTAATAAAATATGAGGTTTGTATACTGTTGTTTGTTTTGTTTATGACTTAACTAAATGTGAGGGGTATCTATAAAGATATACTGAGAGTTGAGGTGGAAGAATAACCACGTCAAGTTTTCCAAATTACTTGCACAAATTAATTAAATGCTAGTAAATTACTACTCTACTCACCACTTGCTTATAAGCAAGTGGTGAGTAGAATTTCATCACTCACCACTAGCCTTTCTTTTTTAACCCTTTATTATAACCATGGGAAGCTTAAGCAAGGGATGCGTACTGCGTTTAGTGGTTAGCAGAAGTATTCAATGTGAACCTGTTAGCTAAACGTGTTTCGGACATATGAAACTAGCCTAAAAATTACAATATGGAGAATGTGTAGCCTCTGCAGCCACAATGAAGGCCAACTACCATGTAGCCTCTCTGGTCCAGTTTAACTTAGTGACATCATGATAAATCAACATTTTAATGTATTTATTTTTGAAAAACTTGCAGTGCAGTTCACCCCCAGTTTGTACATTGCATGTTACTTTACTAGCCGATTTCATATTTAAATGCGTGTGATGCTAACCGTTAGCTAACGGCTAAATCGTTTTTGGGAGATACATTGAAATAAAGTCCAAATTTGAGGAAAAAACTGAAAACACTTACGGCAGTTTTGAATACTTTTCCACATTCCTGCAATACTCTTCTGGCCATTTCGAAGGAAAACCATTCCACTCTTTGTACAAGTAAAGCCTTTAAACTTTTTTCACAAGACGTGGCTGCTTAATTGCTAATGTAAACAAAGATGGCAGCCGGAAGTGACATGTCCATCGTTGCGCACACCTGTTAAGCCCCAAGGTCCCCGCCGGCGGGGACCCTGGGTTTTTTTTTCAGGACACTGTGTCTCAGGGGATCTTAATATTTAAGAACCTATTAATGTGTTATACCAGATTAACGGAAATAATCTCAGCTAACTGACGATATAAACCATTTTTACCAAAACAAAACACAAGTCTCATAAGAAGCATCTAAATGACCCCTTAGCGAAAAATGCTAAGGGACATTGGCACAGAACTCAAGATAAAAGTACCCTTATTACTTATCGTAGCTGCTCATACAAGATATCCGATTAAAGCTGAGGATCCACAGATTATTTAGGTATATAGTATCATCACTGAGTGATCTGAACTTGCGACAGGGGAAGCAAAGAAAGACATCACAACACGTACCTTTACGTAGCTTCTAGGGAGATCGTCTCACCGTAGCTGTTAATCTGATCAAAAGACGTGTTCAATGGCATTAAAACGAGAAAAAACGCAGCTGAATCGTTTAATCCATAGGTTGATAAAGTTCCTGGGCAATAATTGGAATTATTTATAATCCATAATTCAATTTTTATGTAAAAATCGCAGAGCAAAAGTTAGCTGCTAATGGTAGCCACCAGAGTGGCTGCTGCTTCCGGTCTTGGCTATGCGGCAGTATAATACACACACATGACCAAATAAGGACTATGTGGGAGTTCCCCTCGATTCCATTGGCTCTGACGGTTAGAAAGAGATGTCACATGTCAAAATCCAGCAGGGGGAGCCAGAGATATGAAAAATCCACCCAAATGGCCCCAGAGAGGTTTTTTTTTGCTAAATCTGTCTAAAAATGTCAAATATCACTTGTTTTGCATCAATCTTGATACAGGGTACTTATTATATCTTGTACTTTGGATTCCTAAAGCTTTTAGTCTACTAACCCATCATCCAAGGTTAGTTTTCACTATAAGTACAAAATATTTTTTGGACGGACAATATAATTTACAGTTTTTTACCATGTTCAATCAGAATTTTCTTTAAAGTAAAAAACATCTATATTGAATCTGACTTTTCTACATCCAACTGACAGGTTTATCATTACTTTGAGAAAAAGGATTATTAATTTAACCCTTTTAGAAGGGAAGATATGGTTATTTGTTCTGGGAATGTCATTTTCGAGCCTGAAAACTGAAAAACAGGCTCGGGGTTTAACAGGTTAATATATAGAGTTGTTATCAATTTGTTTTAAAGCTCAATAAA